CAACACTCTTTCTTTCATAAATTTTAAATTAAAAAATTTTTTTTTTTTTTAATATATAATTTTTTTTAATATTTAAAACCTTTTTTTTTTTTTTTTTTTTTTTTTTTTTTTTTTTTTTTTGCTTTATAAATACATCATTAAACGGTAAATGTTTTCAATGAAATTTAATCGAGAGTATACATACTACATAAAAATTTTAATCATAAAACTACAAACTAGTAAGTCATAGAAAAAAAACAAAAAACATAAAATTCCGGTATATATATGAAATACAAAAGAAGAAGAAAAAAAAGAATGTTTAAGTTGATTTTCCTCAGGATATGCGAAAGTGAAATAAAGAATAAGTATTAATGATCATTTTTTAATGTGTGAATAACTAAATAGAAACATTTTTATTAGGACTTAAAGGAGAAGAGGATGTATTGCGTTGATAAAGATAAACAGTCGTTTCCGTTTGATCTCATGTCTACATTATTTATTTTTATAATCTATAGAATTAACGTTAAAAAATTAGTGTCAGGCAATTCTATTTTGATTCATTAGAATTTAATTCTACTTATACAACATTTTCAATTAATCGTTAATATTTGTTAACAGTTAAAATAGATCAAAATTAAACAATAGCAAACACTACCACCTATTTCTGATTATTTATCTCAATTGCAATAAGTATTTTTTATTTAAAATTTAAATTATTTATAATAAAAAAGTTCTTAAATATTTTTTTATTCACTTAAATGATAAGTAAATTTGTTAAAAAAAAATCTTTCATATAGATAGACATCACTCACTCTTCTTCATGTGTAAATCATTGGTTCTCTATGATATGACGACATTTTTTTAGTTTTTAATTATTGATTATAGTTTTTTGTCCAAGCCTCCTCTTCAATTATAGATAGTTTCTTTGCGTCTTTATACTCGTCTTTTCTTCATTTATTTCTCAAAAAAAAAAAAAAAAAAAAAGAAAAAAAATGACAAGATAAAATGTAAAGTTTTGCAACTTCGTGAGAATAAAAAAATAGAGAATTAATTTCGTATGCAATTATATTTTTCTTTACAATTTGATTGAATATAACAATCTTGCAGTGTGATGGATCGTTTATTCGTCTTTATTCTTAAAAAGACACACTTCTATACAAAATGAATGAAAGCCTAAACAGCAAGAATAAAAAATAGAATAATGAATTATATCTGTATTATGTAGATATTACCTCTATCGTAGAGAAAATGACAGAGAAAGAACATAGAAAAGATGATGAAAAATGACTAATATTATATTCTTTACAACCAGCACGCAAAATTTTACTATTATTATATGGAACCATATCATAAATTTAAAATGAACTTTATTAATCGCTACATTAGGGGTTTGTGAAAAGTGTCTTTTTGAAAAGAAATTTAACATAGAAAATGAATAATGAAGTAAAAAATGATTTACTAAAAGCGAATAAAGAAAATTATTATATTATGATGATGAAAATTCGTCATAGATGAATGGATTTGAGTACAATTTTTTTAATATTATTTATTTGATGCTTTTAAAATTGATAAAAACATAAAGACTACTTATTTTATCTGGCAAACATTTGTGTTTTTTTGAAAACTACGTCCAAGATTCTCAAGTTTTACAAAATGTACCGTGTAAAAATATCATCTGTGAACTTTCTCAAACTTTATCTTATTAATTCTGCTTCAATGTACATTCCATTACTTGATAGATACAAACGTCTTTTTTTTTTTTCAGAGTACTTACCAGAAGTGGTTTGATTATGACCACGCAGGTGTTGAGTTTTACCTTGTAACAACATTTGTTCCAACGGTAATGTTATATTTGCATTGACACAACTACTTTCTAGTGAGTTTACTTCAGTGTTTTCGTCACATGTTGCCGATGTGTTAATGTGATGTAACATGATTGCAGGTACACTACATCGTCGTTTTCGCATTTGTTTATGATGTTGTTTTTTGGATGATGATGAAACTTCTGATAGTAAATTTCTATCTTTTGTTTGTTTCTCGACAATTGTTGATAAACAATCAGCTACATTAGATTCTTCTTCATTCAATGTATTTTTATATGTTTGTTGTGCAAACGATGACATACGATGGAGAAATGATGCCATATTACAGATGGGAAAAATGTGTTCTAATCACCAAATTTATTAATTGCAACATAAAATAAGAAAGTTAATCATCAAATTTTTAATTAATTAAATGAGTGATTTAGAACTGAAAGAAAAAACAAAACAGACAACTTGATTACTGAATAAATTTCTCAGTCGAACAACATTAAAACGGTCAAAATGATCTTCTGATCTTTTTCGATTAAAATTGTTTTCTCAACACATAAGCGTGGCCTTACGGATTTTTCTTCACTTTTTTCGGTTTTTTTTGGCTTAAAAAATCGAGACTTTAGTTCAGCAGAAGAATATCTGCGATGACGACCAAAAAGATCTCGTCTAGCTAGACTCTACGGGTTACAAAAAATTCATAAAGATGGTTAGTATTTCTTTAAGACCTATTTTGTCAGGGACAAAGAGGTATAACTACGGACAGGCTAAACTTTTAGCAGATCGACTGTCTTTTTTAAATAATAATAAATTTGTCTGTAAAGACTCTTTCCATTTTGTCTATGTGATGTCAAAACTAACACCGGATATGGCGGATTGTAAAACGGTATCATTTGATGTATTTAACTTATTTACAAAAGTTCCACTACAATACACTATTAATCTCATATTCGATAAATCATATCCTTTAAATAATAAATGTAAAATAAAGTGTTCGAAAAAGTGTTCAGATATCAATAGCTGTCAAGAAAGAAAGGATTTTGAGTTGTTTTTACAAAAAGTAACTTTCAGATACACATTTTCTCTTTGATGAACATTTTCATACAGATATAAATTGACTCTTGAAATAAAAAAATAATGATGTATTCTCATTACTTGATCTTCAAGTTATACGCACGACCACGAAATACTAAACTACTATGTATAGGAAAAAGACGTTCTCGGATTATTAATTAAATGAATTTCTTAGGTTTCATTTAGCTATAAAATTGGATGTATAAGTAGCATCGTTCCAAATTTTAGATAATAGTGCTATAAAAGTCTGCCAACACGTAAATTCTGTATGGCAGACCTATCAATATGTGCTAGATGAATCTCTGTTTCTTTATCTTGCCTTACAATGATATGAGAAAAACTTTTCTTCATGAAAAAATCTATGATTGCGCGTGAAGAAAATAATTTTAATCGAAAAAGATCAGAAGATCATTTTGATGCTTTCCGATTGAGCAATTTATTCAGTAGTCAAGTTGATTGTTTTGCTTTTTTTTCAGTTCTAAATGGTGTCCTCTACTTAATTAAAACTTTGGTGATCAAAAATACTGATACCGTTAAAAATTCTAAAGAAAAAGAATATGTTTACACTTAAAAGTGGATTTTTTATAAAAAAAATTCAACGTACATTCACCAGATGAAGCATTTCTCTTTCAAAAAAGTAAAACACGAGCATCAGATAAGTTTTGAACCTATGCGATCTAAACAGTTTACCTCCGAACATTCATCAACGAGCGTTATGATGCAGCTACAGAAGGACATTCGGCATTTACAAACTTCTTATGAATATTCGATCCAAATTGCTTTCATAACCGCCTAACCTTGAACAAAACGTTTTCTGAAAAGAGATGGCATGAATACATATTCAAATTAATGCAGTATATACCTATTTTTGTATGTGATAGTAGAAAAAATTTTCTGTTCAAACACAAACGTTTAGCCCACCGAATTTGTTCAACCCTCTAAAGAACAGCCAACAAATTTAAAACTCGAACGTTAAATAGTGCGATCGAATCTTTTACGTACATCTCAAACCTTATAGTAAAATTTTTTGATAGTAAGATTTTTGAATTTCGCTTCCGTTCATTCCCTACACGTATTTTAAGTCAGACCTCTGAAAATAACCCTAATTCGGCGGAGTATTTGCTAATTATCTCTGCACAGAAGACAAAAATCGCCGCGGATCAAACTTTAGATAAGTGTCTTAGCTCAAAAACTAAAAAGGTTGTCTTAGCTCAAAAAAAAAAAAATGGTTTCCTAATGCTGGAAAGGCACTCATCGTTTTGTTTGGCATGAACAAGAATTATAAATTACACTCTTTTCAAGAGAACTTGAAAACTTTTTTCTTAGTGAGTGATCATTGAAGCGTCAAAGAAAGTCATCATGTCATCCGTTTCAGTGATTATACGATCTGCATGCACAAATTTAATTAAAATTTATGAAAATTTCAAAAATACTGGAAAACACGCCGAATTTTTGACGTGGATGTGAGTTAGGATATTGTTTTGGTGCTGAGAAGAAAAAGTGAACTAGAAGATTACTAAACAGTTTTTTCTTTACATCCATCTACATTCATATAATATGATATTAAATCAAATACTATCGTATGTTCGCAATTATATTTATGGCAGTGACGTGAATTGTCCCTAATTAATCTCTAAATATTTTCGTTTCATAATTATAACACAATAGTTGTTCAACTACATTGCAGACTATATATAAAAAGAAAAAAAAGAAAGTACTTATCTGCAGCAGCGCATGATGAATCTTTAAAATAAGATGCGACGTACCGCTAGGTGCTGAAATGCACCAAACAGATACATATCATGTCTTCTCGTTAGCGCTTGGACGATAGCGTCTAATTTTTCTCACAACAACATAATGTATTTCGATAAACTATTTGTAAACGCTAAGCAACAAAATGCACAGATTTATTGTGGTGGTTTTCCAAATTCTCTTGCGATATGCAGAGATTCCTAAATGAATCAATTTTATTCATGTAAGCTTACATTTTTGAACTTTCAACTTTGAACGCAAGTAAGAAAAACGGAGTTAAATTGAAAAATCGTCACCTGAAGAGCTTCTTCATCTCGATCTTGATGATGTCCATAACTTTTGAACCACTTTATATTTTTAGCTGAAAGTTTGATTCCGTCTTAATTACAGTGAATTCTATATTATCGGGATACCCCAAGGAGATTCTCTAAACATTACACAACCTTAATAAAAAATGCATTTTTTTAACCACGCTAGTTTTGTAGCCCGTGCCGAGCTGTATCGGAATTCATATTTTATTCTTAAAAAAAATATTTTGGAGCAGGAAGGATCAGGCCAAACCTGTTGCTTCTTCTCTTTCACGGTAACTGAAGATAAAAATAAGAAGAGTAAGTTATAATATTATGACTTTATACAAATAAAGCAAAGAAAAATACACATACGTCTTCTTCCTTAATATACATAAAGGCTCTAAACTAAATTAGTGCATATATCCGCACACATATCCGTTTGTTTTTTAAATATAAGAGTTTCTTGACTTGCGCAGTTGATTCTATTGTTCTTATTTCTAATTTTTTTTCCTGAGTGTCATTCATTTTAAAACAATAACGACAGGAAAAAAATATAAGAGCTATTGCTAAGTTTTCTACGAGATTTATTTAAAAAACAAAAAAAAACTTTAGTTTTTATAAATCGGTGAAAAACGCGTTCTTATAAACGTCTGGAAGAGACGGAAAAAAAAAGGCGTTTAGTTTTGTTATCTTTTTATTTTCGAAAAAAATGAGTTTAAAAGAAATACGTTTTTTCTCATCAATATGTTTGAGCACGTCTGAACAAAGAAAGAGTCGTTCTCAAAATAAACAAAAGAGAAATTTGTGCTGACTTACGATCGTGTTGTCTTCAAACCCGTTCAAACACATTTCAAGCGAATTATTTGCTAAGTTTTTTTCCTCCTCGGGTGTAATAGACATGAGCAAGTGGAGAGGGCTTTGGTATTTTAAGTAAATATTATAGTACGAAGAATTCTTTTGGTCTCGCCATAACTCTAGTGAATGCACTTGAGATCGAGTACTTAGCTACGTACAAATTTTCTAAAGTACTTGGTTAAGCACTTGTCAAGCATTTTTAGATTTAATACGTGCCAAATACTTGGAAGAACTTCGAATACTTGCATATATTTCGCAAGTACTTCCCAGATTACCTGCCAAATACTTGATGAAGTACTTATCTAGTACTTATACTTGTTAAATTACTTGATAAGTGCCTTTTTTACTTGCAAAAAACTCCAAGTATTTTGGACATTACTTATCCAAGTACTTTTCTAAGTACTTGGTCTCAAGTACATTCACTAGAGTAGTTCGTCACGAATATGAGAGTGAACGGGAACAATTCAATTTGATATGGTACAATTCGGATCCTTACCGTTCATCCTATAAGGAGTCGCTTGTTATCAATGGTTGTAAACCCAGTGAATGCCATGGCTCTATCCGTACCCTGGATTCTCTTCACTTCGTCGGTAAATGAGTTTTGAAACTCGATTTGTAGTTTTTAATTTCACTTCTATTGAAGATCATTATGCCGCGGATCATGCATCTCTGAGACTTGTCACAGAATAAAATATTTTTAATATATTGCTGTCTAAAAGTCTCGATTGATGCCTTGAAATATCTAACAAATGCAACTGAGATTAAAAAACAAGCCTAGGTCCAAGCCCAATATAGGTTTTAAATTGACTAATCCAAGTCAAATCAAAAGACATGAAGAAAATGTTGATGTATGTCTAGAGTAAAATCGAACTTGAACTTGTTCATTTCTTCGTCTAAATACATAATTGATAAGGTGATGGATCGATGATCGGGTATAGCTATATGAGACGGAAGAAAAGAAAGAAAAGACAACAACATGTATCAAACTATTTCCGGAAAAGTCAATCGTTTTTTTCCAATTAATCAGTTAAATTGCCGTTGAACAAGACAGTACACAAAAAATGTCAGTGTTGATTTGAAATTTTCGAATTACATACTTCATAAATGAATGATCGATTGTTTAGAATAGGAAGGGTTTTCAAAAGAGAGCAGGACAGAAATAAATATTGTTGTCTGTATCTTGCAACAACTACTCTTCCTCTTTCTCTCATTTTCTTCATTAGAATACATGACATTGTTGGAATGAGATGTTTTGGCCAATTTTATTTTCCTCGACTCTTTTGAAATGTGTCCGTTTATTTTACCACAATTATTCTCTTTTCAACGAGTATCAATAGAAAAGAGTTCATATCTGAGCTGCTA